CCTCTCGCCTAACACGCTCGGGCGGGTTTCTATCATCCCCTCCCTCTTTAGAATCGACCTTTCCCTCAAGGTCGAAGGATGGGTATCGCTGCTGCAGCGTCGATGTCTCCTCCCAGGTGGCATCCTTTGGCTCGACATGCTGCCACTGAACCAAGCTCTCCTTGACCAGACGACCCTTCTACTTCGTCCAACGCGTCTCCGGCACTTTCAGAGGCGTCAACTACAAGTCTCCATCGATATCTCAACCCGATCCGCCGGCCCTCGATACCTCTTCAGTAGGGAAATGTGAAATGTAGGATGAATGCGAGCCTCAGTCGGTAAGGGTGCAGCCTCAGCAACACTAAGTCTCCAACCTCGAACTCCTCCTCACGTCTGCCTGAGTCCGCCAACTGCCTCGTCCTGTTGTTGTTGGTGGCCAGGTTGGCCCGCAGCTGCTCCAAGGCCTCGTCCCGAGCTCCCAACAATCTATCCACTGCATCAACGGCGCTCGTGCTATCCCGATAGCGCATGAGTAAGGGAGGAGGCCGACCATATAGTGCCTCAACTCGGCCCAGGGAATAATGGCCAACCAGCTCTTAGGCTGATAGTGAGCAAAGCAACGGAGTTACTGCTCCAAGTGCCGGTTAATCACCTCAGTCTGCCCGTCCGTCTGAGGATGATATGCCGAGCTCATCCGTAGTGTCGTCTGTGCCATTGTGAACACCTCCTGCCAGAAGTAACTAAGGAAGATGGGGTATCGATCACTGAAGACCGACCTGGGAAACCCGTGATGTCGCACCACTCCACTCACCAACTGCTCGGCCACTACTCGTGTTGTGTATGGGTGGGATAGGGCCATGAAGTGGGCAAACTTCGTGAGCCGGTCCACCACTACAAACACCACTGTCTTCCCTTCGGAGGGTGGCAATCCCACAATAAAGTCCATACTAATGTCCTCCCATACCCGTTCCGGTACGGTCAATGGATGCATAAGCCCCGCGGGTCGCAACTGAGACACCTTCACCCTCTGGCAAGTATGACAGGAGGCCACATAATCCTTCACTGCCTGGCCCATTTTAGGCCAATAAAAGTGTGACCGGATCCGGCGAAGGGTCCGCTCTACCCCCGAATGCCAAATGGTGAATCATGGAACTCCTGCAAAAGGTAGTCACTAGTGATGACCCCGGCGGAAGGACCATTCATCTTTTGAAGGACACTAGGCCTTCACGAAAGGTGTAGTTGTTGGGCTCCTCACTCACCGCAATGTCCGGATACTCTAGTAAATAAGAATCTGTCTCCATGAGTGCTCGCAGCTCGTCCCAAAACTGGGGAACAGGACCTGCCACTGCCGCCAATACCTCGCCGCCCTGGCTATGGGAAAGTCCGTCTGCCACCATGTTGGTGGGACCCGATCAGTAGTTAATCTTGTAGTCATAACCGAGCAACAGCGAGACCCACTTGTGCTAATATGGAGTCGACACCCTCTGCACAGGGGATTCCTCAAGCTCTGGTGGTCTGTATATATGTGTAACTTGTGCCCCAACAGGTAAGGTTTCCACATCTGTCCCGCTGAAATGATAGCCTTCATCTCCTTCTGGTAGGTTGACCAGGCCTCCTTGGCCGACGCTAGAGTCCGACTCATGAATACGATCGGATGCAGATCCTGGGACAGTTCTTCCCCAATGCCTCTCCCCGATGCGTCAGCCTTGATCAAGGCTTGGAGAAGTCCGGCATTTCCAAGGTCGAGGTGGTAGTCATCGCCCATTTGAGCTCCTGGAAGGCCGAGTCTGCTATTGAGGTCCATTCGAACCCTCCCTTCTTCAAAAAGTTTGTGAGAGGTCTGGTTATTGTGCTATACCCCTGAACAAACTTTCCGATAGTAGCCTATCAAGCCAAAGAACCCCCGCAGCTCGATCACGTTGGTCGGGATCGGCCACTCCACCATCGCTCGCACCTTGGACTGATCTACCTGTACTCCTTGCGGGGTAACTATGTGTCACAGATACTCCACCTTCTGAACCCCAAAAGCGCACTTGGAAGCCTTCACATAATACTCGTGCTTCCGCAGTATTGCAAACATTGCTTGCAGGTGATATAAATCGTCCTCCCAAGTCGGGCGGTATATGAGAATGTCATCAAAGAAAACCAAAACATACCGTCGCAGTGGAGGCTGGAATATGTCATTCATGGCTGCCTGAAAAGCGGACGGAGCATTGAACAACCCGAAGGGCATTACCGGGTACTCATAATGCCCGTTATGTGTCCTGAATGCTGTATTGGGCGCATCTTCCTCCTGCATCCGAATCTGATGATACCCAGCTCTCAAGTCCAGCTTGGTGAAGTAGGCTGACCCATATAACTCGTCCAACATATCCTCCACGATCGGAATGGGGAACCTGTCCTTCACTGTTGCTTCATTGAGGGCTCTATAGTCTGTACAGAACCTCCAAGTCCCGTCCTTCTTCTTGACCAGTAGTACGAGTGAAGAGAAAGGATGAGTGCTAGGCTGGATTAACCGGGTCTCCAACATCTCCACCATCTGCCTCTCGATCTCCTCAATCTGTGAATGGCCGTAGCGGTAGGGTCGGACGTTTACTGCCTCCACCCCTTCCTTTAGTTGAATCATGTGATCCACCTGTCGATACGGGGGAAGGTTGGTAGGAGCCTGGAGCAGTTCTGGGTACTGGTCCAAAACCCCTTGTAACTCGGCGTCAATGGTCATCGCTCCCATCGACGGTAGCGACCAGCAGAGGACGGCCAAATAAACCTCCCCGTCGTCCGTGCAGTCTCTGCGGGAAATCGTCCTAGTCGCCGTCATAAGACCCTGCAAAACCCACTCTTTATCCCTCCACTTAAAACACATAGTTCAGCCCCTCCAGTCACTGGTACCGGTCCTAAACTTCTTAGCCACTGAATTCCTAGGATCACATCGAACCCCCTGATGGGCAGCACATACAAATCTGTAACAATCTCCAAACCTTGAATCTCAAGGCTAATGTCCTGGTATACCTGTTCGCACACTAAGGGCACCCCGTTGGCAACTCTGACATGGAGTTTCCCTCCACCGAGTGTAGCGAGACCGCCGGTAGCTCCTCGGCCACCCTGCTGCCACCCGCCGACGCGCCGCAGCCATCCCCCTCCGCCATCCGACTCGGCGATTGGAGTGGCGCTTTGTTGCCACCCGCTCCTGCCGTCCGGGTCATCGTGCCTGGCTTCGCCGTGGCCTCCCCCGTCGTTTGTTGCCTTTGTCCCTCTTCGGGTCAGCGGTGGAGCACCTGCTGCAGAAGAGCTTCGAGATGATCCCATTCTGAATCAGAGAGCTGTGACGAGCTCATTCTAGCTCTGATACCAGATGATAGAAACTAGAAATTCCCGTTTGGGGATTTAGGGAATGAGAAGAGAAGAAATTAGGGATTTGGGAGGATTGGGGAAGAACAGGAGGAAGAAAGGGGATTAGGGATTTGATAGTTTATTCATATATTTTCCATAAACTGTAATGTATTGTTCTCAACCCTGAAATAGGATTACTAAGAAAATAGAAATAACAATTATGCCATTACTAAACCCAACCCACTCGGCCAACCCTTTCCTCTCGCCTAACCCGCTCGGGCGGGTTTCTATCAGCAGGTGCATGCTGTGGCAAAGCATGATGGAGTTTTTGGAGAGCTTTGGCTCACACGGCTAGGCCACCCTTCGCCGTCCAAGTTATCATTGCTCAGCCATGTTTGTTCATTTGCTAAGCCCTTAGTGGTGTTTGTTATCCCTTTTCACCTGCGAAGCAAACTCGGACTCCTTTCCCCCTAGTTCTATTCGTACTACGGATTGATTTCAGTTGTTGCACATAGATATTTGGGGTGGTTATCAGACCCCTTCACTTAGTGGAGCACATTATTTTCTGACTATTGTCGACGATTTTAGACGTGGAGTTTGATTGTATCTTCTTCGTTTTAAATCAGAGGTTATCCGTTATGTGTAGATGTTTTGTCTAATGGTTTTACTTAGGTTGGCCGCAGGGTAAGATGATCCAAACTGACAATCGCTTGGAGTTTAGTTGTAGCTCTCTCCGTGACTTCTATGATCATGAAGGAATTATTTTGCAAACATCTTGAACAGACATACCGCAACAGAATGGTGTAGCTGAACGAAAGCACAGACACTTGTTGGACACTGCGAGGGCACTCTGCTTCAATACTTCCTTACCCTTTTTTATGCAACCTTGGGGGGTGGATTTGAATAAAAGTACACAGCTAAACTCGAACAAAAAACAATGGAATGAAAGATGATCGATAGGCAGAATCTCGCCACAATCAAGTGTGTTTGCTTCATTGATATGAGACTTGTCAATCTAATTCTGGACTCTTCAATAGAATGGCTTCAACAAGGTTCTTGTAGTAGCTATGAAATTCACCAAGTAGCTAAAACAATAGACAATTCTGGAGCTAAAGCTCCAAAAACAAGGGTAAACTCCTTAGAGTAATTTTATTCAAAAAAAACCTAACAATCACAATGAAAAGAAAGGTTTAAATATTAATTACAATCCCAAATTGATAGCCAAACAAACAAGGAAACATAAACTAGCTAAAACACTAAAAAAGGTAAAAGAATTCCAACTATAAAGGACATACAAACTCGGTCAAACTCCTTTCTTCCAACACAAGTAAACTGCCAGAAAAAAGGCTTTATAGCCTCTTTGAGCTATTCGTTCGAAGCCTTAAAAGTAAGCTTTTGATCATCGAATTCCTTTAGCTTGTAGAAAAAACAATTTCTACTTTGATGAAGCAAAGCCCTTCTGCTTCGAATCTCTACCATCGAGCATGAATAGGGCTCCAAAGTAGGGTATCTGTGATAGCAACCTGTACTCTGCCATTTTCAGGCAGTTTGCCTGTTTTGACATAGCAACTTTATGGCTTTCGAAAATAGTCTTAGGAATTGATTTAGGATTAAAAAAACCATCCAACATGAACCAAATGTTAGATATAAGCCTCCAAAGTAGGCACCATGATACAATTTTGACATTTAGCCAAAAATTGCCTCTTTTCTTGCCATCTTGGACTACTTCTTTGTCAAGCAATAGAAACTTGAATTGTAGGCTATTTGGGATAATATCATACTCCCCCTCTTCAGAAAGCTTTTCCCTCAAAGCTTGTATGAACCTGCAACCAAAATCATCAATGAAAGCATCCCAAAATGGCTCATGAAAGTTGTATCCTGCTTGTGGCCAATCAAGCTTTGATGTGTCACTTGCTCTTGTTCTTGCTGCTTTCGGCCAATATTCGAGCTCCAATAAATTCGTGGGACTCCAAGGGTCTTTCCCACCCAAAACATGTCGCCCATAATTCCCATTTTCTGACAACTTTATGGACTCCGGCGAGCTCCAAGAAACTAGGCCTTTTCTCTCACAACCACCTCGATCCTATTTATTGCTTTCATCGTGTTCGTCTCGCTTCTAGGAAGCGAACACAGCCATTGCCAAGCTTCGACTGTGCTAGAATCGTCTCCAATTGAAATCCCCGAATTTCCCGCCACCAGGGAATTCAAATTTTTCAGATTTCGTCGAACCAAAATGAAACTTGGAAGTTTGTGATTCGGCATCTTCGTGTCGATTGGATGATTCCTACAGCCTCTTGGCAATTGGAACTGCCATTGATGATTCTGTATCAACCACTGGGGTCTAAGGGATGTCGAAATCTCCAACCAATTCACCCATTTTTGCTTCGTTCTTCTTCACGTTTCGGACCGAAAATTCCAAATTGAAAATTTTCAATTTGATGCCTTCGGACTCCAATTGACCCGCACTACATGTTCCCTGCTCCTCATCGAACCTGTTGACGTCTTCAGCTTCAAAGACCATGGTCTGGACTGCTCCCCCCGCTTCACTCTCTCTCCTGATATGCCCTACCATCGAAGAATAGAGTTTCCCGGCACCAAAGAAGTTGATCAAAGCACCACCTTCTATTCTCGAAGTGTCTGGTGTTGGGAGAATCATTCCTTCGCCTTCAAGAAACTTCACAGTAGCCTTGGCGTTGCTCGACTCAACCTCCAGCGCCATGACGGCTTCTTCTTAGCGTGTGCTCTGTTTCGTTGACAAAAAACAGAGGTGCCCAGCTCCGACCAGTGTCTTGAGTGGTTCGCTTCTCAATGACGACTTCCTTGATATCAAAGCCCCCTGATACTCTCCATGTACACGTTGCAGCACCTTCAAGTTATCCATAGCTTCTTCTGCAGCCAAAGGCTTCAAAATAAACACCTTGCTTTGATGCTTCAATCGAAATTGCTTGCATCTTCTGCTAACACACTACACTTTTCGATCATGGAACCAAGGTTGTCCCATGACATTGTGAACTTATGAATTAATTTATAGTAATTTTTATTTAATTCTTTTATTTATGATTGTTTTTATCGGTGACACCCCTATTCGACAATCCTGGCTCCGCCACTGTTTAGATAGGGGAAGCATAAAGTCGGCAGGCATACCTAGCTAGCTTGGACGAAAGAGTAGAAGTTTGGTGTGACAATGGTGGAAGAAGAAGTCTCAGTGTTGAGAGGGTCTTGAGAAGAGAGCCCAAAACTTTTGGGGATGACTCAATAACGGCTGAAGAAAATTCTTCTTCTTCGCCTCCATCGCCCGAATCGGAGTCACTTTAGTCACAAGAGAATATGCACCGCATCAGCTAGTGCGACATCATATAAGGGAGACGTTGGGCTCAAATTGACCTAGAAGGAGGGAATCCCCTCCTTGCCCACTTTTTCATTAATTGGGTAACCCCTTCTAAGGCAATTGAGGACACGACACACCTCAAGCATTGATTTAGCGTCATGAATTGATTGTGTTTTATCTCTTTATCGCCGTTTCAGACTAACCTCCGAGGGATTGGTAAGCAAACTTTAGCTGATTGATTGTGAGAACTCTGTTTCCTAGCTTAATTGCTTTTCCTTAATCGATTGCCTAAGAGAGTAGAATTCGCCACTAGTTGCACCATCCTCAAGGTATAAGAACACACTTTTTCGCATTAGGGTTTCAGTTTTGCAACTTGATACAAGGCTAGGGTAGCAATACCAGGGTCAAGCTTTCTCATATAGAATCCACAACCATTTGAATTCTTGCTTGCTTTAAATTGTAGCTCTTAGTTTTCACTAAAAACCGATTGATAGATAACATTTTAAACGGTTAGTAGGAGTACATGGACCGGTCTGGGTTGACATTTTAAAACGGTTGCCCTATACTACACCCTACTAAAGTTTATACTTGGGCTCTAGTTGGGATTTCATTCTTGTAGTTAGAAACGAGTCACACCATGAAAGGAATATTCATTCAGACGAAAGATATACATTTGCAGTAGACCTGGCAAATGAGGATCCGACCCATTGACCCGACCCGAACCCGCCCGAAAAATAGAGAATGGGTTGAGGTTTTTATAACCCGAAATCCGAATGACCCGAACCCGATTAACCCGTAGTTTTTGGGTTGGGTTGGTTTGTGGGTCGACCCGCTAGACATGTTTCATTGCATATGTCACTGTCAAAATGATAAAATCACTTATACTTTGGTGAGATGTTAAAAAAAATTATTAAGATTTGAAAGACAAGTTTGGAGTGTTAAGATAATCAAACATCATTTATTTATTGTAGTAGTATTACTTTCGTAATTTTTTTTGACAATTTGTGCAATTTGTATTTCTTTTCATTAGCATGGAAGGAGTTGAGCAATTGTTAATTGACATGTGCTAGGTAAACTATTGTTGCACATACGTAAAAATTTGTGTACTTTAAAAATTTATGAGGCATGTTTGATATTGTTTCTGAGAACACTCATGACCAGAAATGACTCGAAACCCGATCCGAAACCCAATGGGTTAGTCAATATTTGACCCGAAATCAGCAAACCCATCATGACCTGACCCGTGAAGACCCATAACCCAAAATTACCAAACCTGACCCGATTGCCAGGTCTAATTTGCAGTCCATTATCTTAATACTAATTAAAGATATAAGTTTGGTACCTGTTGTATAAGAGATAGATTAACATGACATGTGGGTTCTAATTTAGAAATGACAGTGCAATTATGAAAGTTAAATATGGATTATTGTTGCATAAGAAATATTCTATTTTGCACTACTGTTAGTTTTCTTTGGTAACGGGCATGGCTCTTAAGCTCAACAACACGTGGCTAAAGTGATGGAGAACAAAAATTATGATATTTTGCAATATTTTGCACTACTGATATTTTGTAACGGGTCGGAGTCGGATAATGTATATTATCTTATCTGAATTAGTTTGGATTTTCCATACTCATAACGATATAAGAATCGGGTAGAATATTAAAATTATAGTCATACCTAATTGTGTTTCGGATATCAACGTCTATGCGTGGTTAATAATTTTTCATTATAACTTCAACCAATATGTTAACAATTTCACATATACTAACATTACATAAGTCATAAATTACAATATCAAATTACTAAAATGAAAAAAATTAGTTAAGAACAACCACGTGTTAGGGCTGGGAAACGGTGCGGTCTGGTCCAGACCAGACCATATATACGGTCTATGGTCCAGACCAGACCATATATACGGTCTATGGTCCAGACCGAGAGGGTAAAGTGTAGACCACAGACCATACCACAAAATATATGATTCGGTCCAGACCACGCCTGTGTGATCTGGTTCGATCTGGTCTGGTCCAGATAGACCACACTTAACGAAAACTGAATAATTTATTTAGTCAAATAGCACGAGTTATTGGAAGTTTGCACAGATACAAGTCGGACACAATGTGCTTAGCAGAAACAGATGAGGTTATCGGAATTCGAACATGACACATTTTGGTCACAGAAGACTCTGATACCATGTCAAAAATCAGTTAGTCCAATAACTTAGGCCCTGTTTAGTATCGATTTGTTGTTGTTGTGGTTGCAGTGGTATTGTGTAAACAGATGTACAACCACAACAGGAAAAAAATAGAAAACACAAACATGTTTAGTTGATAATCTGAAAAATAATGAAAGCAACAACAAGAAACAAAAACGTGTTCAGTTACTACTATTAGAACTAAAAACCAGAATAGAGAGGAGGCGGCGATGGGGGAAGGATTCGCAGTCCACGGTGGGGAATCTAGAGGAGGTGGCGGGAAGAAAGGGAGGCGGCAGGGGGTTGCGAGGTCGGGCAACAGGGTAAAGGGAGGCGGTGGGGAAAAGGGACAAAATCGGCGGCAAGGGAGGAGATGGACGATATCGGCGGCCTGGGTCTCGAGAGGAAGAAGTTGAGAGAGGGAGGGAGCTGTTGGGCGGCGGGTTTGGGAGAAGATGAGGGTAGGGTTGGCCGACTAGGGTTTGGAGGTGGGTTAGTGAGTTAAAAAAAAAAGAGAGAAAATTTTTGCTTTAGGTGGGATTCGAATTGAGGGTTGTTTTAATGAAAACAAACGGGAATCCCGTGTAAAACATGTAGAAGAATTAAATCCAAAGCAATAAATTGTTGTTTCTCAAATTTGGGCCCTGTTGTGCAAATCTGATTCACAACAAAAAGTAAAAACCCAACTAAACACGTTTTTTTTTTCTTGGTTTCTCCAATCTTGAAAAACACAACAGGAAACAAAAACAGGCAACAATACTAAACGGGTTATAGAAGAGATTCTATTGTGTATCGTATATAGTTTATTAACATTGTTGACTCTTTATAAGCTACGCATGTATAAATCGTAGTCAAAATCCCATGAAGTAACTGGATTTTAGCATCCCTGCATCCTTTGGATGGGATATCGCAACTCTCAATAAATAATTAAATATGATATTGCAACTTCCAATAAATATGTAGCATATAGAAGTACATAAACCTTCCATTTAGAATGATTAATTCATTGGAGCAAATAGATCATTGGAGCAAATAAACTTTCGCCTGATTTAGTGTCATTCGATGAGGTTGTGTAAAAAACAACAAATTGGAAAAGTTAGAAATGGTATGGTGTGACCAGTATTATAATAAGTGTGTGTATCAAATTAATTTTATCATATATAAAACATATATGGAGAAAAATTACTTACAATTCATATTCATATTTAAATAATAAAATGTAACATTTCAAATAACACAAATAACTAACTTTTAAATTCACAAATTAAGGAATAAATTATTTTTACATTAAGTAAATTCACTAAAATGATATAATTTTATTTAGAATTCTTAAAATCGATTATGCTAGTTATACTGATTATGTTTATGCCAGTTTCATGACCGACAACGGTTGAACCATGCTATCAACATGACAACCATGATAGCAACAAAACATGACCAGACCGCACAACAATTAGTAACCACTATTTTTTGGATGAAAGAGGTGCAACATTTTTCAAAGGGTTAATGACTAAAGACACCCCTCTACTTTGATATTTTTAACAAACACACTCCTCTACTATCATGGTTAACAAACACACTCCTGTACAATTTCGTAGCTAACAAACACACCCTTCTGTCTTTTTTCCCGTCTTCTATACGTTAGGTGCGGGCCCCACCCTCCTAGTAAGCAAACTTCCCGTTACCAGGTTACTATTTTACCCTTTCCATAATATTGTGGAGACTTAATTAACTTAATTAATCCTCACCAAATCTCGTTTTCACCTTCCTAGTCAAATCCTTCCCAAATCTCGTTCGACGAAGTAAGGGTAAGTTCGTTCGTCTTCTGCAATCCGCTTGAATCGACAAAGGACGGCAGCTTCTGCAACCCATTTTGGCGCCCCGCCGCTTATCGTGACGAACAACAACGTCACCAATTACACGCTTACCCCCAATGTGGTATAACAAGGTTACCATCGTTACGTTGTTAGTTGAACTAAAACCTGCAACTTGATAAAATGAATAAAAAATAAGTAAACGCAAAAAGTCACTGGACGTTTCCTCAACAACAACTTCTTCCATTATTAAATGAACAGGTGACCGATAAAATAAATTAAGAAAAACTCTTTCTAAAACTAGTATGGCTGCTTCTTTTTAGTTGCGTTAAATACCTAATAGACACCTAAAAAAGCCTCCAAACCTATTAATAAGCTTGTCTTCGCCGTTGTTCGTCACGATGAGCGGCGGGGCGCCAAAATGGGTTGCAGAAGCCGCCGTCCTTTGTCGATTCGAGCGGATTGCAGAAGACGAACGACCTTACCCTTACTTCGTCAAACGAGATTTGGGAATGATTTGACTAGGAAGGTGAAAACGAGATTTGGGGAGGATCAATCAAGTTAATTATGTCTCCAAAATATTATGGAAAGGGTAAAATAGTAACCTGGTAACGGAAAGTTTGCTGAATACTAACTAGGAGGGTGGGGGCCGCACCTAATGGATAGAAGACAGAAAAATAGACAGAAGGGTGTGTTTGTTAGCTACGAAATTGTACAGGAGTGTGTTTGTTAACCATGATAGTAGAGGAGTGTGTTTGCTAAAAACTCCAAAGTAGAGGGGTGTCTTTAGTCATTAACCCTTAATAAAATGTCCATCAGGAAGAAGCCTGACTCTACCGCTCTTCCGCACCTTCTTCGTCGGATATCCTTCCCGTCGACGACTTGTCCTCCGCAACTTCATAATACTCGCTCACCGTTTCTAATCTACTCTTACATCGCTGTCTCTAACTCATCCGTCAAGTGCCCTTGCTCCTTCTCTGTTGCCACCGCTCCCTTTCTCCCAAACCCTCGAGTATTCCCCAGAAATTACATCTACTCTCAATCTTCAGGGGAATTCAGCGACGCTAGGTGCTGGAACTACGATGCCCAGCCAAAAGGTGGTCTGTTTCTGGTTTGCGATTCCTGTAGTGGCATCCAACCTGCAGATCACTCCATGGATTACTTGCGTTTATTAGAGAAGTAAGTATCAGTTGCTCAAAAAATATTTGCTTTGTAGTTTGGCTCGATTGCTTGAATCCAGCAAATACTAGTTCGAAGTTCTAAGTTGAGAAATTAGTTCCATTTTCTGTTGAATTATCAGAGAGAAGTATGAGATTGGGGATGCTCATTTGCACGATAAATACAAAGAATGGCAGAAGAAGTTGCATCCTGATTTGGCTCATTCGAAGTCTGAGGTGCATTTTGTTTTCCTTCTTCTGAAAAGACTTTAAAATGTTTTTCTTCTAGTTTGTAGATTATTAAGTCGGCGTACTGTTTCCTTTTTCTGTTCAAAAAGAGAGGAATTTTTCCCGAGAACAGTCAGCTAGAGTGGGTGATGCATATCGCACGCTGATTAGTCCTGTCCTTGGGGCAATGTACAACGTGAGGCACTGCTCATGCTTAATTTCTGGGTTTTCTGGTGACCGTCCTTCTCAAATGAACTTTAAATGATGTGATTTTTAGTATGTCGGCAAAGTCATCTGGTCGAAAGACCTCCGGCTTATGGATTCCTTGGTTATGTAATGGAACTTTATGGTTGGCTGTTTCGCTAATCTTTTCTGGTATCTATCTCAGCTTATAATTGCTATTTGGATGATCATAAAGCTAAAACATATTGTGCCTTATGCAGATGAAAACTGTGGGTGTAGATGTAAATGAAGAAGAAACCATCTTAGACCCGAACCATAGTCAGCAGCAACAACAATGTATGACTGAGAAAGAATGCTTGGTGAAGCCAGTTTTAAAGGGATATCTAAAACAGGACTTGCAGGAAGTTTGCAACATTTTGACATCATCCTCTGTTTGGTCTGTCATTTACGAAGCCTTGGAGAACTCAACAGTGAAGTTCACACCAGAGCTAGTTTTGGAAGTCCAGCGCAATTGCAACATCCATGGAACTCAACTTCTTCTCTTGGGTAGGAAAGCAACCTGGATATTCCCAAACTGTAGATACATACAACATGACCATGAAAATATCAGGACGAGGTAAGGATTTTAAGCACATGAGAAGTTTGTTCAACGAGATGAGGAGAAAACGTTATCTAGTGACGCCAGATACATGGACGATCATGATTGCTCTGAACGTCTTCAAAGAGATGAAAGAAAGTAACTGCAATCCTAGTGAAAGTACCTACAAACACCTGATTATTTGCCTTAGTGAACAAAAAGGAAAGAAGGTTGATGAAGCCATGAAATTATTCCAAAAAATGATCCGTTCAGGGTTCGTCCCAAATAAAGAACTCGCTGAAATTTACCTTCGTTGCTTATGTGAAGCTGGGAAGCTTGCAGAAGCTATAAAATGAATTCATTCGCGGAGTAAACTCGGATTTAAAGTTGCATTCAGTCGAATCTTATACGTTAGAGCACTCTGCGGAGCGGGAAGATTGGAAGAAGCCATATCTGTGGTCGATGAAGGTTGGGGAGATCATAATAAGCTTAAACTTGACCGATCAACGTACGCAAGCCTTGCCCATGGGTTATTGAGAACGGGGAAGACTGAGGAGGCATTTGCAAAGCTAAAGTACATGAAGAAGGTCAGCATTCATCCAACTGCGCATGTCTATACATCATTGATTGTCCATTTCTTCAAGGAAGAGCAGCGGGAAAAAGCCGAGGAGACGTTGGAGGCGATGCAGCGAGAAGGGTGCAAGCCTACCATAGTCACGTATTCGGCGATGATTCTTGGATATATGAAGTTAGGAAGGACTTGTAAAGCTTGGACTGTGTTCCGTCGTCTGAGAAAGGAAGGTCATCCCAGATTTTCAGACGTATTTAATGTTCATTAGTTGTTTGTGCAAGACTGGAGAATCTGAAGAGGCCTTGAAGCTTGTGGGTGAGATGGTGGAGAGTAACATCATTTCATTCCTAGTGCTGTTAACTTCAGGGAAGTTCTTTGGGCTGAACTGAGAAGGGAAGCAAGATTTGGCTCAAAGTGTGCTTCAGAAAAAGTGGGATTTGATAAAAAAATCGAAATTTTTTAACTTAGCTCCCAAGGTTGGCTCCAAAACTGAAATCTACGACTAGATGGAGGTCACCCAAACATTTTTTTTATGGTTATCCCATCCCAACATTATTAGTATGATAGTTTGGGCTATCCTATTTGAGGACTTAGGTTCCCATGCTAGGAAAAATGTAACTATTACTCAACCTTGGTTTAAATTGAATTTTATAAGTTTTGAAGCATTTATTTTAACATGAAATTATTTGTGTATAGTATTTAAAGAAATTTATTTACAATTCTTACTTTTTGAATTCAGTGAAATTTGGGGTTAGTTTTAGCCATTTCGAAATATTGAGCTGTAATTACCAAATAAATTTCACAAATATTTTACTAATTTTGATAAAATGTGTATCTATTAAGTAAATAAATTTTGATAAAATGTGTATCTACTTAACCAATACAATCATCAGTGGCTCATGCATCCTCTTTTGTGTGCTTTCCAAGTGACTCCCCAGTTTCATTCTTATGCTAAGCTACAACGCTGCTGCTACTCATAATCAACATAAATTCTCTAGAATGTTTCAGTTTATGCTCATACCAGTTATCTAGATGTACCAAGTGTTTTTCGGCGAGGAGAACTCTGGTGTTTGAATTAATGCTTTGCACTTTTGACTTCTTGAACAACGAAAATGACACGGTTCACACCTCCCCAAACAATGTTCAAATGAGGGGGTTTGATGTTTTTGATGGTTTTTTCGATCAAGCTACGTGAATTACTCCTACTCCTATGGTGGTTCAGTGAGAGCTCCGAATAATAATGGCTATGGCTAAATTGCAGAGAAAGGATAAATTTTGACATTTTGCGTCAAATGTTTGGTTGTGGAACTCTTGCTTCGTCTTCGTTTCTCCTATTTATAGCCATCCCTTGTAACCTCCATGTAACTTCCTCTTATAACCGCTGCCTCCCATGCTTGGTGCTTGATGTAGCTTGCTTGATATCCTAATCGCCTTGTCTGCTTGCTGACCACTTGGCATCTTGATGGATTGATGAATTCACTTGGCAGGTAGCCACCAGTGTCGTAGAGGCATCTCGCTCGTCTTCTTCTTGATGTTTGATGCCTTGGCGGTACTCATGCTGACCACCCATGCATGCCGTTATGCTTGGCATCAGGGTGCTTGGAGGGTTGATGGATGCATACTAACCCCATTTGGGGTGACATCATGCTTGCATGGTCTTGACAAGATGGTCTACCATGTGATGATATACATGGTTGACACTTAATTGATGATCTTGTCTATTAGATACCATGCATGACCACCATGAAGCCTAGCATGCCCGACTACTGGAGATGAGGGTGCGTTGTGTCTACCCTGATGCTTGACCCCTGGTGGTTGGTACGTGGGTGGCTAAATGCTTGACTACGAGGCTCTCCTTGTATGACATCATGTTTGACCCCCCTAGTGGTTGGGTCTCAACACTCAGCAAATTTTCCTTCTATCTCTATCACGTCTAGTACTCGCGATGGGCCCCCTTGTACGCCATCATGCTTGACACCTTAGTGGAAGGTAGGTAGGTGACCGTGGTACTTGGTACTTGACCCCCCTATCATGACATCATGCTTGACCCCCCTTGGATGATGCCATGCTTGACTCCCTTGGGGTTGGGTCTCACACTTACCCAAATTTCCTCTCCTTTGTCGCCACGTTTTATAGGTATTCGTATGCTTGACGACCCTCCTTGCACGATATCAAGTGTGACACCCTAGTACAAGGTAAGTAGTCGACGTGGCATCTGGTGCTTGACCTCCCTTGGACGATGTCATGCATGACCCCCCATTGGATGATGTCATGTTTGACCCCTTGTGGTTGAGTCTCCATACTTAGCCAAATTTCGCCTCCACCATACCGACTTGGGTGGTTGATGTTGAAGGGTGTCGGCGTTTGGCGCTTGAAACCCTTTGCTTGACATCATGCTTGAAGCCACTTGGGTGATCTCATGCTTGATAGGTGGGTGCTTGGTGGGTCGCGGGGTGTGTGTTGAGGTATCATGTATGAAGCCAAAAATACCATCATTTAGGCACAGGTTAAACCAATTTAATTAATGTGGTTAAGTTGGCCTTATAAATCAATACCATTCCTTGAAAATAATCATTGTTGTATCAAGTGATTTTTTAATGGTAAACACCAAGAAAGATGTATGGTTAAATGAGGCGACAATTTCCACAAAAAATATAGATTTCAAAAAAATCAATACAAAAGTAACAATTTTTTTGAGTGTTAGCTTCTAGACTACAATGAACTTTATTGTAACTAGAACTGTCACCATAACTTGCTGCTCAATCTATTAGTTATGAAACCCATCAACTCTATGCGTATTATCCATATCTCTACGTGTGATTCATTGAAACATGCACGACATTGATTTACATAGCCTACACTTGTATTCTAACCGAAAACTGAACATTGAATTGATCCACCCTTTTCTCCATAAAGGCTTTCTTGCCCTTGTCGCTATTTATATCAACATAAATAAATGAATAGTGATTCTAGAAAAAGACGTTGAATATTTTAGATCTTGTAAGAAAAAGATATACATTAAATCTCTAAGATTTTTTTAGATGGGAATCTAAATATTTCATTAAGCTTAGGTCATCTGCAATGATGAGATGCCTCTCAAACACTTTCTACAATCCAATATAAAGCTAACAAAATAACAAAGAAATATAATTTCTTCTATCCAAGCCCACGAATAAACTCCTATTATAGGTTTGGATCAACAATCACCCTACTTTGGATTTCACCTCGCACTATCCTACCAATCTCCATTGGAGAGCGAGAAGGTTTAGCACTATACAGTCGCAAGCATCGTTCACGTCAAGCATAGCTCAGTATGACTCCTAATATAGAAGCTAAGGTGGAGCATTCAACTTCAAGAAAATGTTCAATATACTAGTTGTGTAGTAAATAGTAATGCATCAATAAGTAAACTCTGTTTTCAACACCCCGTAGGCATAATAAAGACAAACCTAACATTGACTTTCCCCCATGCAATAACTTGTCTTCATTTGTCAGTCGGTTATGCAGAGCTAGCCAGAGAATGAAACCATGACGAGGTATTATTTCCTTACCCCAAATAAGTTTAGCCCATGACACCTCTTGGTAACTGAGTATCTTTGCATTTGTTCTCCCTACCACATGACATTTGGAACCACTCCTGAAATATATTGAGCAGCAAGACCCCTACATTTCAAAATCATTATCTAGACACCCAAGCCACCAAGAGTGAGCCTCTCCCAATTAGAATATCCTATATTTGTCTTAACACACATGCCTTGTTACATATACTGAAGTTCTTGATTCCTGCCACCCTCTGCTTTTGGTTATGTTAGCAGAGCCCAAGCCATAACTGCCATCTTCCTTGTCTCTTCCTCTCCTGAGTTCCAAAGAAAACCGTTGTAGGGTTTTTCGACTTCCTTTATTACATACTGAGGAAGTAAAAACAAGTTATACAATATTGCAATGAATTGGATATCACAGTGGACACCAGTTGAATCTTCACAACATAGCTAAGAGCTTTAGTACTTCAGCTTCTGAATTTCTATGTTATTCGATCAATCAACACTTGATAGTCTTTACGAGTTGAACTAGAGGTGAATATGCCAAAAATTAGGAAGACGACTAAGACCTATTTAGGTGTTATCAATGATCAGGAAAAAAAACAAATTGATGGAGAAGTTGCACGAATTGAACTAGAGGTGTACTAGCTTCTTAACCAAATCAATCTTCTAACTACCAAAAAAAATATTTTATTTTTAAATAGCTCATTATATGTAAAAAAAATACTATTGACAAATATGATGGATGGTTATACCTTTCTAGATAATATGATATTTTAGTAACAAAAATAATTACACATCCTATTTATTCAATGGAGCTAACATACTTTGTTTAAGTATATGTCAATGCTACAATTGTACCATAATAAAGTGAAAAGAATAATATGGTTTTTTTCTAACTGTTTTATGAGACAAATTTGACGTGGAAGATTCATGATGGATACAAATATTAGAACCTAACTTCACAAGATCAAATCAAACAAACAATAATGAGATCATATTCTCCCACAATAACCACGATTCACCAATCCCGACCTTTGCGAGTTTCTCCTTTTTCTTTATTTGTGAAATTTATTTTTTCTCCGAGTTTCAATTATTTTTATCTCTTTTACCACTTTCATTTTCTTAATCTTTTTCATCATTTTCCCTTTTCCCTTTGGTTAATCGCCAATGGGAATTAGGAGGAGAAAAGTGAAAGCTTTTCCAGAATTCTTCAAAAACCCTTTTCTCCAATTAATATTCTGATAATATTCATCGTCATGTAAACAAAAAATTCATTTCCTTGACATAAAACAACCAGTCCCATTCCCCTTCTCCCCTCACCATCATAATCTGGACAAAACCCTTCATCAACATCATAAAAAGTCATTAACTTTGAAATTCCTCAATCCTAGAAATATATAGAGACATGGTAAAGGTCTTTTCCTTCACCTTCAACAAATAAACAAAAATAATAGGGCGGCAACGACTTCATTTGCCTTCTTCTCAGAACCTTTCCATCATCAAATTTCCCCCCGTCCTTTATCCTCTCCATCTCTTTGTCTGCTCATTGCATTGTTTCTTTCCATTGAAGGTATAAATTTTCACAATCCTGGCTATTTTTGCATTATTAATCATACCTCACTTTGGGTTCAAGTTTCTTGACATTTATTTTTGGAGGAAAAAGAAAGACCTTTCCTTTTATGGGTATTGATTTCTTTTACTTTTAATGGGTTAACCTACTGTGCTTAGAAAATATGACAATGCGTTAGTCAGAGAAAAACAAAAAAAGAACAATTTTAGTCCTTTAGGGTAGGGTTGGATTCAAAACCCAAACTTTTCAGGAGTTTTGGGAATTTTCTGTGTGTTTTTGGATTGTTTATAGGATGGGGGTGGACTCTTTCCATGGTAAATGAAGAAAGATAAAAGAGAGAATATTGTATACTTTTTTGTATTGGGTTTAGATGGGGAACAATTGCGTTCAAGCAAAAGGTGTAGAGGAAGGAGGAGGAGGAATTTGCAATCTAAAATGGTGGTCAAAGTCGGCAGTTGGCAAGATGAAACCAACCAAGACGCAAAAGAACGTTGAAAAAGAATCAGGTAGCAAAAAGAACATTGAATCTGGCAATGTTGCTGATTCTGGAGAGGCTCCTGATAAGCCTCCTGAGAAAATGAAGATGGAGAAGAAGCCATCTGAGAATAAAAAGGAGGAAGAAGAGAAAAGAGTAGTAGTAGAGCCCGAGAAGCTTGAGAAACAACCATCTTCGGCTCCAAAATCCCCTGAAGAGAAAAAGAATAAGACTGCAGAAATGAAGCTACCTCCAGAAAATGTAGAGATTGCTAAGCCCCCTGAAGAACCACCAAAGAAAGTTGTTAGGGAAAAGAAGTCTCCAAATCAATCCCCACACAAGACGAAGAAAGAGCCCAAGCAGGATTTTGCTCCAAAGAAAGTTGCTATATCACCACCACCACAAGTTGAAGATGAGGTGCCAATCCATCAACCACAACCTCCACCTGAAGTTACCCAGGTAATACCGGTGGAGCCACAACCACATCAATCTCAAGATCCTCAAGTTCAGTCACACACACAGTCACAGAAGCAACAACCAAAGCCAGTAGATGTTGAAGCCAAGAATCCAGGTGGAGAAGTTATTGTTGCTGGTGGTGGTGGTGGAGGAAAGCCTGCAAAGAAAGCTCACAATGTTAAAAGAATGGCAAGTGCAGGGCTTCAAACTGATTCAGTGTTGAAAACCAAGACAGGGCATTTGAAAGAATACTTCAACTTGGGAAGGAAGCTTGGTCATGGTCAATTTGGGACAACTTTCTTATGTGTGGAGAAAGGAACTGGGAAGCATTATGCTTGTAAATCCATTGCAAAGAGGAAGTTGTTGACCATGGATGACGTGGAGGATGTGAGGAGGGAGATAGAGATCATGCATCACTTGGCTGGACACCCTAACATTATACGAATCAAGTCCGCTTATGAAGATTCTGTAGCAGTTCATGTGGTGATGGAGCTTTGTTCTGGTGGTGAGCTTTTTGATAGAATCATTAAGAGAGGGCATTATACAGAAATGAAAGCTGCTGAGATCACTAGGACAATATGTGGTGTGATAGAGACATGTCATTCACTTGGTGTCATGCATAGGGATCTCAAGCCTGAGAATTTCCTATTCATTGATGAGAATGAAGATTCCCCTCTCAAGGCTATCGATTTTGGACTATCGATGTTCTTCAAGCCTGGTAAGATATATGCAGAAATACACATTTTTTATACTTGCATTTTATGCTCAATGTTTTGAATGAGGGTGGAACTTGAATTGCAGGGCAGGTTTTCAATGACGTGGTTGGAAGCCCTTACTATGTTGCACCAGAAGTTTTGAGGAAAAAGTATGGTCATGAATCTGATGTTTGGAGCGCTGGGGTTATGGTCTACATTCTCTTGAGTGGGGTGCCTCCATTCTGGGCAGGTAAAATCTGAGAGCTTTTTTACTTTATGAACATTGCAAGCTAATTGTTGAATTACCAACTTCAACATTAACTCTTCTTGTAATGCAGAAACTGAGGATGAGATTTTCCAAGAGGTTTTGCACGGGGAGCTGGACTTCACCTCTGATCCATGGCCTCATATTTCTGATAGTGCTAAGGAAATAGTGAGAAAAATGCTTGTTAGAGATCCGAAGAAGAGGATAACCGCCCACGAAGTTCTCTGTAAGTCTCCCCCATTGTGTGAAAATCAAGTTCTCATAACATATATGATGCCTTCTTACATGTTTTCCATCTTAAAGTCTGGATTTCGGTTGGATTTTCTTTTGACAGGCCATCCATGGGTGAGAGTAGATGGAGTGGCGCCAAACAAGCCTCTTGATTCAGCTGTCTTGACACGTTTGAAGCAGTTCTCTGCTATGAACAAGCTCAAGAAAATGGCTCTCAGAGTAAGTTTCACTCCATGCTTCATTTTTTTTTTGTTAGATTTTTACTCACGAGCAATAGTCAAGTTGTGATCTTTGACATATATGATTTTTTACTTTTGATGTAGGTAATTGCAGAAAAGCTGACTGAAGAAGAGATCGCAGGATTGAGAGAGATGTTCAAAATGATCGACACAGATAACAGTGGTTCCATTACCTTTGAAGAACTCAAAGTTGCGCTCAAAATGTTTGGTGCAAACCTTGATGAGTCTGAAATTTATGACCTTATGCAGGCGGTAAAGACTGCATATTAATCCAATATTGTCCTTCTGAGTAGTTGGTAAACTCATTTAGAAATGAAACCAATCAAAAAAATCCTCCATTTGCAGGCTGATATTGACAACAGCGGGACAATCGATTACGCAGAGTTCATAGCTGCGACACTGCACCTGAACAAAGTAGAGAGGGAAGACCGTTTATTTGCTGCCTTTGCATACTTTGACAAGGATGGGAGTGGCTACATCACTAAGGATGAGCTTCAGCAAGCATGCAATGAGTTCGGCATGAAGGCTGTTTCTGTAGAAGAGATGATTCGAGAAGTAGATCAGGATAATGTAAGCAAAGCAATCCATGTTGGGCATCATATGGATTGCACTGTATTATATGTTGATTTGATTCATTGGTTTTGGTGGTTACGTGCAGGATGGTCGCATAGATTACAATGAGTTCGTGGCAATGATGCAAATGGGTAACCCTGAGATTGGTAAGAAAGATGTACAGGGTAGAAGTGTAGGGATTTCATTAAGGCATTGCAGTATGATGACAGATGAAATTTATTTGTAATGTTAGTCATGCTTCTTCTTATCAACTTCTTTGTTAAAAACATCTTATTGTTTCTTTTTAATCTGCAGGTGATATCAAAAGTTCAAGCATCAAATTATCACTACCCTCATTGAAGAATCGCACAAAGTGAAACTTTTGCTGAGTTTGGATGTGCCTAGACTAGGGGAAGAAAGAAAATTCTCGTCACGGTTCAATAAACTTCAAAGAATGTTTCACCAATGTGTTTGATGCATGAAAATTCATGCTAATTTGGTGGAGAGTTTTTCTCGTAGAGCTCTATGGTCATGGATACCCCTACTAAAAATTTATTGAGCTGAACCTCCTAAACCAGGCAATGACTACAAAGAAAAAAGGAAGGTGACAATGCATAGTCTGGGCTGATCCTTCCACCCCAGTTCAATGTGACGTTGAATACTAATGTCGACCACCATTCCAGAGGCATCAACTACAAATCAATGATTTCAAGGACTCGGAATAGTGAACCACTTGCCTACATATTCAAGATCATTAAATGTCAAGTCTAACAAACCTAACCTAAGTAACCTGTTTCTTCGTATTCAATTTTGTATATTACCAATGTAAAGCCCTCTAGTTTGGTCCATGCTTCGTGATTGTAGCCAGCTGGTTTCTTTGTGTTCTTTTTGTATAGTTTTAGGGAGATTTGAGATTCACAAATTGGGTTGTCTGTAGAGTGGTGTGTGAATCTCTATTGTTGTCTCATTTAGAGTTAGCCTCCTTTGATTTTTTTGGCTGGCTGCTCTAGTGGGTTGTTTTGGGTAAGGTTACTGAGATATGGTATGTAATTTTCTAACTTTTCTCTTGTTGTATCTGGGACAAAAATGTAAAAAGTAGACTAAATAATTTTAGACACAAATAATAGTGCATTAAAAAACAATACATCAGAAAATCTATGAGTTGTTAGTCTTGGGAGCTTCTAGTTTTTTTTTCATAGGTGTCCTCAAAGGGAGATCGACGATGTTCTGGCCTTTCTCGGAAAAGAGATACCGCAAATGGGTCCCTCTCCAGAAGTGCATCAAGGCCAGGTGGAAAGCTTTGGTAGCACGTGTAACTTGTCAAAACTTCATCCATCCTTACCTTGTCCATTGATCGTACTCTAGTTGACTCTTCAACCTCCCGTCCTTCTTCAATAAGTTATTCTCCGTCTACGGAAAAACCAAAAGCTTCCTCCTCAACGTTCACTTCCTCCTAGGGGTGTTCAAACGGTTTGATTATCGTGGTAATCGTTTTAACCGGTACTATTTGGATAATTTGGTTTGGTTAATTTAGATAATTGGTTTGGTTTGGTTTGGTTAAAGTTTTTAGCTTGTTTGGTTTATGTGGTTTGGTTTGGTTTCAGACACTCCTAACCAGTCAAACCAAATTAACCAGTTAAGTAATTAGTCATATATCTAACATATATTATATACATAATACTTTGCATAACCACTCAAGAGTTAACGTTCATCCCTTTTAGACTCATAAAATATAAAGCTCAATATTGCTCATATAGTGTATATTTGTATATGTAAAGTCTAGACCACAACATATGGACGTCTAATTTAGATATTTCATACATTATGATGAATGAAAACTTGAAAGCAAGGTCATTTTCAGCCTATTATAATTGCTAAGAGACTAAGTCAATTTACACAAACACAACAATTCATTAACCCATACCATTGTCATAATTTTTTGTTAGGTGAATACTTCTATACTAATCGTAAGATAATTGTCTTAGTTGCATGTATTTTTGTTAAGGGTCAACTATAACTACGTGTTGATTGTTATGTTTTATTCATTATATAAATTGCGAATTGTTGCATTAACCGGAAAATTTTCATCGTCAATAATAATGTGATTTTATATTGGTTAATCTGGTTAACCAATTAACCAAACCGATTAAACTTTAGTTTGGTTAATTTGGTTGTTGTATTAGTTTGGACGGTTTGGCTATGATATTGTATTCCATGGTTAATGGAATTTAGCCTTATTTGGTTTGGTTATAACCATGGTAACCATTTGAACACCCCTACTTCCTCCTCCTCAACCTCTTCTCCCACTCTTCCTCTTTCTTCCTCATGTGCATCTTTGAACCTCATAGAGGAGAATGGAAGAGTGTAATTTACCCCAAATGACTTGTTTTCTCAACATATCATGGAGAAGTTGGAAAGCACGTTTATGTGGTGCTTAAATTTACACACTTTCGGTTTAGGTGTTAGCTTGCAAATACTTTGCTCAAGTAGAATGTGAAGGACTATCCTCATTCGTCAAGCCAGCCAATACTTAGTGTGGAGGGATGATAACAGTCAATTTATAGCATTTATACTCCCATATTTAATACATTTTCCACTTCTACCAATATATATATAGTATATTTTGCTACGTTTCATATAATATCGTAACTATTTGATCAATATTACTAAGATAGACCTTCAGTGTGTTTTTGTACTTTTTATACCTTTTGGTGTTATTTTGTGCAGGGATATACAACACCCCACTAAAATCTACACCCGAGACCCACCATCCCGTTTATTTCTAAGTCATTTCCCAATTAATCTCTTCTATCCCAATTAATCTCTACTACGAGAGTCGAGAGGAAGCTCGCCCAACCAGCGATTTGAATATGGGAGTAACCCATTAATAATCACTAGCATGGACTCAGACACTTGGCCGGAATATTTAGCTATATTATTTGATACTTAATCTCAATGAAGATTTTTATTTAGCATTATTAATTTATATGTTTTATGCATAGCATTAGTTGACAAAATTAAAATTTATGAGGCGTTCTCGTTACAATATCGAACATTTTTATGCAAACTCTTTGTATTTGGTTTATGTATGCAATCAAGACTTCCATCACTTCATGGTCATAAATTTCCAATTTCTGACATAGTATGATTTTGTTTCAGCCAAGTAGACTAAAAGAGTGATATAATTAGGGAACGAATAAAAGCTCAATTATGAACTTATGCAACTAAAACTAAGATTTTTTTAGCAAATTTGTCTAATAAAATTGAAATCCTCAGTTACCAAGTTGGCAAACCACGAAAATGATACCATACCCAACAAATTCGATTAATTATTATTACAATCAAATATAAAATATCGCAGTTTAAAACACTTTTTCCAGCTACTTTACTGATTGGTATCCAAAAATCTGAAAATTATAATTGTAGGACAAACAATTTTGTAACAAAAATAAAAGAGGAAATAAATATTGAAAGAATATTTTATTTTGAAAGCTGATAATAAAGTGATTTTTTACACTTGCAATAAGAAAGGTATAAACAATTATCGATATATGAAGTTTGAAAAATATGGATAGGGCTCATGATGTCAATATCTATAGGGAAATTGTGAGCTTATAAAACTAAATAAATAGAAAGTATGAAGTCCTTTTGATCAAAATGACAAGTGACTTTAATGACCGATAGAAATTTATGTATTATTGGGGAACTAAAATGACATATAACACTTATAAAAACTCTAGCTTGTATTTAAATTTAGATGAAAGGTAACGCCAAGTTCATTGATCTTTATTCTATATGTGTTTTTAAGCTAGAACTTGTAATGGCGTAAATATTATTTGAGACCAAACTTAGGCTTTAGATGGCTTCAATTTGAAGTTGTATACATTCTCTCTTTCATTAAGAAAAAGAAGCGCCACACTATCTTTTTCTATTAAACTTAACCATCAATAAGTACCCATAAAAAATTTGCTTACTTAAAGTTTTCAAAAACCTCAAAGCTTAATCATTAATAATTAAGTACCCATAAGAAAAACGAAAGCGTGTCTCATGAAAAGAATTAGAGAGAGACCATTAAAACCATTAGAGGTTATGTTTTGTAATTAATTATATCAATTGGAGTTTTTAGCAAACACACTCCTCTACTATCATGGTTAACAAACACACTCCTGTACAATTTCGTAGCTAACAAACACACCCTTCTGTCTATTTTTCTGTCTTCTATCCGTTAGGTGCGGCCCCCACCCTCCTAGTTAGTATTCAGCAAACTTTCCGTTACCAGGTTACTATTTTACCCTTTCCATAATATTTTGGAGACATAATTAACTTGATTGATCCTCCCCAAATCTCGTTTTCACCTTCCTAGTCAAATCATTCCCAAATCTCGTTTGACGAAGTAAGGGTAAGGTCGTTCGTCTTCTGCAATCCGCTCGAATCGACAAAGGACGGCGGCTTCTGCAACCCATTTTGGCGCCCCGCCGCTCATCGTGACGAACAACGGCGAAGACAAGCTTATTAATAGGTTTGGAGGCTTTTTTAGGTGTCTATTAGGTATTTAACGCAACTAAAAAGAAGCAGCCATACTAGTTTTAGAAAGAGTTTTTCTTAATTTATTTTATCGGTCACCTGTTCATTTTTTAATGGAAGAAGTTGTTGTTGAGGAAACGTCCAGTGACTTTTTGCGTTTACTTATTTTTTATTCATTTTATCAAGTTGCAGGTTTTAGTTCAACTAACAACGTAACGATGGTAACCTTGTTATACCACATTGGGGGTAAGCGTGTAATTGGTGACGTTGTTGTTCGTCACGATAAGCGGCGGGGCGCCAAAATGGGTTGCAGAAGCTGCCGTCCTTTGTCGATTCAAGCGGATTGCAGAAGACGAACGAACTTACCCTTACTTCGTCGAACGAGATTTGGGAAGGATTTGACTAGGAAGGTGAAAACGAGATTTGGTGAGGATTTTTTAAGTTAATTAAGTCTCCACAATATTATGGAAAGGGTAAAATAGTAACCTGGTAACGGGAAGTTTGCTTACTAGGAGGGTGGGGCCCGCACCTAACGTATAGAAGACGGGAAAAAAGACAGAAGGGTGTGTTTGTTAGCTACGAAATTGTACAGGAGTGTGTTTGTTAACCATGATAGTAGAGGAGTGTGTTTGTTAAAAATATCAAAGTAGAGGGGTGTCTTTAGTCATTAACCCTTTTATTAATAGCAGGGGTGAACAAACACACCCGCAAACCGATCCACCCGTTCAATCCGACCCAACTCACCCGTACTTATCGCTAAAACTAAAGTTTTGGGTTGGGTGAGGGTTTTCTTTTGCACAACCCGTCTCTTTTGGGTTGGGTGTGAATTTTGGATTACTCAACCCGTAGAACCCGACCCAACCCGTGTTCCAATTATTGATATGAATTCATATCCAAAAAATATTTATGTCAAATATAAGCATATTTATGAGAAAATTAAGATATTTCACCTTGTTTTTCTCTCATGGTCTCCCTAATCTAATGCATTCTATGGATGTGTTCATTTATAACCTCTTTAGCCTATTTCAATAAATATCGTGAAAAAACTAGACAAATGTTGAAGTATAATCACATTTTATTAAAATTCGAACAACATTTGTGCATTTTAATACCTTTCACCTCAGATTATTTGTTTAAAATTTTAATTAGTCATATAATATTTTTATGGTGTAGAATAATTATATTGGGTTGGGTTTTTACTTAAAAATGTTGTCAACCCAACACAGCCCAATTAGAAACAAACCGTAGGGTTTTTATTTTTTTGGGTTGGTTTGGATTTCATATTTCCTAAACCGTAGACCGTAGTACATGGGTTGGATGATTAAAATGGCTAAACCCAGACCACCCGACCCATGTACACCATAATTAGTAGCGCGACGAAAACCATCACTGGTTCTAACCCAATTGAGGAACCTAAAAGCTAGACGAGGCACTCCAAAACACCACTTCAGTACTTTCTCGACCACCCCCTGGTCGTCGAACCGACTTTCCATTCTCTCTAACCTCTCCTCCATCGAGGCTATGTCATTCTGGGCTCGAACAACGGTGGCAATCTGGCGAACCAACGGACTGGCATCCACTGCAGCAGAATTATCCTCCGAAGCCAACAACGTCGACTTCTCCTGGGAATTTTCACAAACATCTAGCGTGCACCGTTTTATGCCCCAGCTAGAAACGTAATTAGGGACGTGGGTTTTCACCGAAACTTAAATCCCATCTGGGTTTTTGTCTAGGACGACTTCGGCAGCTCCCAAAATTTCAATGATCTGTTGGAAGAGGGAGTTAGTACAAGGAGGATTAGATTCTGGTGCAGCAGATTGTTGTGAAGTTCTCTTGCAGACAGAACGAGATATTTTTTATGGTTCCGAGAGGGTGCAGAGGTGAAGGTT